TAAATGGATCCTTCTTTCAACCCAGTCATTTCAGAGTATTCTGAGCATTCACTTGGTTTACACTGAATGCCACATCTTTTGCTTGAAAAATGTGTCTGCATTTACACAACACAGAGCACAACATGGCAAAGTGAAGCAAATTGGAACCGTTGGCCTCTGCTGAACCGTATTACTTGTGACCATAGATCATTTTTTTATAGGTCACAAGTGAGGCACATCTGTTTCCACTTGGCTAAGTTTCCATACAAAACATTTGAATAGAGATTCTTCACCTATATCCGCTGCTCCACTATGCTTGTTTAAACCAACATGTGTCTCATACATCAAACCTCAGAAAGAGCAAAGGTTATATACCAGAGAGTGTATTTCTGAAAAAGGTTTGATTACACAACACACTTCAGAAAATTCTTTAGTGTTTACTCCATGATACCATTTATTTTTAAAGGATATGTTTATGTAGTGTAGTCTTTTAACACTCAACTTATTTGACAGTTGTGCAAGCCAGAGCCCAACATGCCCACACTGGACCTTGCTTTTTTCAAATTTGATCTCAAAGCCCCTCATGTGTTTGACTTCTTTTTAATTGTTTCCTGTCTGCTGGGTCAATTATAAGTCCTGGGCTTTTTTAGGGGGGACCGACTATGGCAGCATTTTTGGACAGACGGAGTGATTAAATAACTGAAATTTGAGCAGAATGATGAGATCATTCATTGGGACTTGATTTGATAATATTGTACTTGGTGTGCATGTCGCAGCATACATATGCTGATATACGGTTAGACAAAAGTTGATGGAATGGGCATACCTTTCTTTTTGTTTAGTGAGGAAAATAACAGAGAAAAAACAACACAATATTACTCTTTTATCCATTATTGATTTTGAATCAGGTTCATACGTGTGTAAATACCCATTGATATTTTTATCTACATCAAAATATGGGATTTGAGACAAGCTCAAAAGAATCACCAGTAATCAGCAAGCAAATTAAAAACGCATACAACTATTTTTATTTACATACAGTAATCCATTCCTTTCTACTTAGCTAAACAAAGTAAAAGCAACACAATTTCCGTGTCAACCTAGTCTCTAGTTTCACTTGTGAAAACAGTGACGGTTTATGATAGTTTTAAAAATACTTTAATATGCAATCTTCAGATATTACAAACTTTGTTATTCATCCATCCATCCATCTTCTCCCGCTTATCCGTGGTCGGGTCGCGGGGGTAGCAGTTCAAGCAGAGAGCCCCAAACTTTATTTTCCCTGGCCACATCAACCAGCTCTGACTGGGGGGATCCCAAGGCGCTCCCAGGCCAGCGAAGAGGTATAATCCCTCCACCTGGTCCTAGGTCTACCCCTTGGTCTCTTCCCAGCTGGACGTGCCTGGAACACCTCCCTAGGGAGGCGCCCAGGTGGCATCCTAACTAGGTGCCCGAACCACCTCAACTGGCTCCTTTCGACGCGAAGGAGGAGCGGTTCAACTCAGAGTCCTTCCCGGATGACCGAACTTCTCACCTTATCCCTAAGGGAGACACCAGCCACCCTGCGGAGAAGACCCATCTCGGCCGCTTGTATCCGCGATCTCGTCCTTTGGTCATGACCCATCCTTCATGACCATAGGTGAGGGTAGGAACGAAAATGGCCCGGTAGACAGAGAGCTTTGCCTTCTGGCTCAGCTCCCTTTTCGTCACAACGGTGCGGTAAAGCGACTGCAGTACCGCTCCCGCTGCTCCGATTCTCCGGCCCATCTCACGCTCCATTGTTCCCTCACTCGAGAACAAGACCCCGAGATACTTGAACTCCTTCACTTGGGGTAAGGACTCATTCCCTACTTGGAGTGGACAGTCCCGGTTTCCTGCTGAGAACCATGGCCTCAGATTTGGAGGTGCTGATCCTCATCCCAGCCGCTTCGCACTCGGTTGCGAACCGATCCAGTGAGTGCTGAAGGTCGCAGACCGATGAAGCCATTAGAACCACATCATCTGCAAAAAGCAGTGTTGCAATCCTTAGTCCACCGAACCATTGTTATTCAATGGATAACATATGAATGTCAATATATGAATACAATTATTTATGAATAAATCCTTTTGGAAAATGCTAATATTCAGCTGTCCTCTCCTGTCAAAATCCATATTTACAAGCAAGACTAAGAACTGAATTTCAGTCCAGAGCTTAAACTGGAATATTATTTATTATTTAGCTTCATGCAGAACTTGCACAAAAACTTTTTTAAATATTCTTAAACTTATAAAAAATGTAATGTTTTACACAATGAGGCTACGTTTTTTTTTATAAGTCTATGCAAGCCCTGTGGCTTCCCTAAATAAACTCAACCAGTTAAACCAGTGCAGAAACATGGCCGCTGCGAGAGGTGCTGCCGAAGTGAGGTCAAACTTCACACTGCACGGTTGCCCATGGCTACATAAATATTAACCAAGCCTCCACGGCCTTCTTTGATTATAAGTCTACTCCCAGGGTTTGATATCCAAGGAGACCGCCAGAGCCAGCTTGAGTAAATTAATGAGAGAATACGGAGAAGTCGGTTTAGTAGCGATGTGGCGGACTTTCACTTGGTAAGGAACAGATCAAGCTGCTGGATTTCATGCAAACGAGGCAGGGAACGAAACATCACTAGTCTGCAGTTTGCATACTTGAAGCTTCACTTTGAACTTATGTGGCTGGTAGAGATGTGAGAAAGAGAAAATAGAAAAATGAAACCCTCTTTCAGAGTCCTTAAGATGAGTCTCTGCGCGCTCACAACAACATTAAGTCAACTTGATGTTTAAATTATGTCTCAATTACAGGAGCAGTTCAACATATTTTGTTTATTTTGGTCATGTCAATAAGTAAATGGCACAGGCAAACTCTGTAGGTGTATATAGGTCAAGCCGAGTAAAATTCAATAGAGCTTTAATAAAAGGTCAACAACTCTTAATGAACAAATGATTGAGTGATCAAGGTTAGACGTGGCTTTGTAAATTGTGCTCTGAAGCATATAACCTGGCCAAATCTGTGTCCGTCATCAGGCTAAAGGACTCTGATTTGTTGGGGGTCAGCAGCGGTCCTGTGACTGGTCATGTGTGCCTGAAATGTCAATCATGTGCAAATATTTTTGGAAGGAACCAATAAGCATTGTTTGGTGAACAATTGAAGGTTAAGAAGCAGGCTCAGAGCCACATGGGAAATGGGGAGACATGTTTGCTCTCACCATGGATGACTGAGGTCTGTCTAAAGCATCTGCCATCTTTTTCAACTGATATAAAAACTTAAAAACACTGAGGTTAAATTTTTGCAATTTTATTTTTTTGGGGAAAGTATATATATTTAAAATTCTGCCATAATTCAGTTATTGTTTTCACCTTTTTGAATGTTTTCTGGACTGCGCAAAAGAGCCAGCATTTATCTAGCACCATTTGGTGAGCGATTACGTGCAATATTGTGCCGCCTATGCAAGACATGATTATATCACAGTTTATCATAAATGCTTGCACATTAACAATTTATGTGTAACCGCTGTGACTCGTCAAAGAAAAGACTGCAAAAGCCTGGGTTTTGCACACAAGGTGGCCTATAATTTACAAAATAGTTGTAATTACCCTGTGAATCAAATGGGTATCTATGTCTTCACCTGCATATATTGAATCTGCCTGTGAATTTTACAGTTCAATGATTTATGTTCATTCAGAGAACAGCAACACAAGTCTAATGCCCTCTGTTGACAATCTGAGGAAGCAGATTCAAATGAATTCATGCAAAATGGCTGTTTAAGCTGTTCAACACTGCAGCCATATACACCACATGTGTTTTTAGTCTGGGCTTATAAATAAACATTTTCTCCACGTTTTATTACATCTGTTTTCTCTTTTTCTGTCCCGCAAAAGAGATGGCTGTATTATTATGTAAAATTATGCTTATGAAAACATAAATCTGCCCCTCTGCTGCGTTCACCTTCACCTGGCAAGCATGACTCAACTTCACATTTCCACATTGTGGGTGAAAGACAGATTTTATTGAAGCCAGGTGTGTACCCACGTCCTGCCTGATAATGTTTCTGGACAGAATTCCTCAGCCAGATCATAACATGCCCTGAGTCTTCCCCAAATGCAAAAAGAAAACTGCACGTTTTGTTTATGTCTAGATATTCTGATTTAAAGATAGAGGCCCTAATGAAAACATTTCTTTAAAAAACAGCAGCTGCTTGAAATTTGGATTTTTTTACTTTGAGAAGAATATTTGAGTTTGGAGTGTTTTAATAAAAATGTGAATCCCATACTTATATTGCACAGACTGAATTGTAATCACCTGCATTGTAAAGTGAATATGAATGGTGGACCACCAACGTAACATGCAGCTACAGTAATGAGTCAAAGGGTCAAAGCCACAGCAGCCTGACAAAAATCTGCTTGACTGCCGAATGCTATCATGAATCATGTAGAAGCAAAGTGCAGGGAGAAAAAAAACACACCCACAATTTAGGAGAGACTTGGTTAGAAAAACTGCTTGGCACTACACACACACAATTGGCTCCACGCACCAGCAGCAGCTTGACCACCGCTGCCCGGGCCAGTGTGTTATCCTGTGGGGCCAGTTGAAGTGAGCAGGGGGGGTGGCGAAAAAAAACCTCTCCCTGTACTTCCATGTTTCTTTTGAAGCTTGGTAGTATTACAGTAGAATAAGTCCTCCGTCATTGGTTGAATGGGCCGGACTGCCTACTGTGACAGAGCATGGGCCTCTCATGCCCAAAAGGGAAGCAGTGATGCATTTCTAAGCAGAAAAAAGGAGCAAATAGGAGAGGAAATTATTGATAACCTCTCTGTATGACGTGGCTAAATATTCTCTTGAGTTTAAGAAAAATACCTGAACTGAATTCTATCGGGCATGATAATAAGTCGATGTGATTAGTCTCCTTGCTCAGAACTAGACTCCGAGTCAGTGCGGATTTGGATTCCATGTCAGGTTTTGGTGGAGTCCTCCGCTCAGACTGCTCTGCAGACGGCAGCCTGCTCTGCACTGGCGCTGTTTACTGGAAGCCCGCTCCGCGCCGCTTCCACCAAGTGAACACTGTGAGCGGGATCTCTTCCACAGGCGAGCCGCTGAAACTTGTCTACACACTCAGAGGAGAGCAAGAGAGCAGCGTCGGCGGTTAAAGTAGCGGAGAACGGTGTTTTCCCCCCAACAGACACTGAAATCCCCACACTGTCCCTCTCAGCCACTCTTTTTTTCACCTAGTGGGTCCCCGAGCTCTGCTACTTGTTTGTTGTCGCCGCTTCGGGAGGCACGAGACAACCGAGAATAGCCGAGCCGCTCAGAGGCGCGGATGAGTCAGGACTGAAGCGCACCTTTCTGGCCATGGAAGTGTGTGTCCGGAGCAGGGGGATGTACGGGCTGAGAAGGGGACCTGCCAGCCTCTGTCCCAGATAAGGAGAGCATGCATCAGAGCTGCAGACTCAGTCTCTTCGCTGCAGAGGAGTTCCCATCAGACTGTCTTTCCACTATCTGACATTTTTACTTTTCACATCCCTTCTGACTTCATTTCAGCGTCGCTGCTTTTTCAAGAAAGGTACGTTCTTCGTTTGCACCTTACTCTCATCGACACTCAATTGGACACGGCCATCAAGTTGTTGGTGGCGTGTGTAACAACTTTTCTTACGTCTTGCATTTGTTTCCAGCACTCATTTAAATAATAGGCCTCTCTAGACATCATGCAAGTCTCGCAGTGTGTTTTAACTAGTACTACTTTTGAAAAGTAAAAAAAAAAGTGTCATTTTTTATTAGGTTGAAAGTCAGTTGGTTTGATCAATGGACACAGCTTCAAAACTGGACACCTCTGTATATTGTAGTAATTTAAATGGTCCAAGAGATAACGTGATATTGAAAAATGGTTAATCAAACATAACCAGATGTGGATTGATATGTTCGGCCGCCGAGTTTGGCTGAATAGAAACTATTATAAAAAGTGGAGAGCTGCGCATTTTTGTGACCCAGAACATGTAAAGCACCATTTAATTGGTATGTATGCCCCCAGAGTTGAAGTGTAGTTGTTGGTGGTGCTGGTCACCGAGGCTTTTTTTTTAATCTACTGATGGTCTTGTTGGTCTGAATAGGGATTTATGCTGGAAGCTTTGACCTTAGAAGCGATGTCGGTGTGATTTTAAAGAGCATTCACAGGCTAATCCATTATAATTGGGACCGAGCTATTTGTCCAAAGAAAGAAAATCAGTCAATGCTCGCCTAGCAATGTTATAATTACTTTTTTTTGCCAAACAGAACTCGTGATGCAACAAGCGTTATGGAAATCAATCACAAAAAAGAGAACGTGTCACAAATGCGTAATATGTGGCTGTTTGACTTAACTCGAATCAAGCCGTCGCAGAGTAGCGGTAAAATTAGATCCTTTTACTGCACATGTATAATTTAGGCCCACCGATTCCGAACGCGTCTTGTCAACCATGTGTTAAAGAGTAGCCCGGGCGGCAGGAGCGCACATGCGGTGTGAGAGGCTCCTCTGGCCCGGGAAACACAGCGCGGACAGCCGCTGGTGCATGGCAGCCCGGAGCTCAGCAGCAATACACAGAGATCGATCAGCGGATTGCGAAAAATGTATTCCCAGTCTTCACATGCTCATTTTTTTGTTGTATGTTTGATTTTAAGAGAGAGCGAGCTACGAATTCCTGCCTGGATTAGAGTCCATGAATGTGTCTCACGTCTCTGTTTGGTCTCTAATATCCTACAACACATTCATCATAGGTGTTCACCAGAGGAATTTACACTTACACTAAAATGTGATATTTGTTGAGCTTTTTTAAATGTAATTGTATTTCAAATTAGCATTTAAAGTCCTGATTGAATAGGCACAACCTTTGAGTATTTTCTAACAACAGTGGTTGGAGGATGAAGTGTCTTTATCTGTCTCTCCATGCATTACAGCTAAATACAAAGGCTATTTGTGTTGAGTTTTCAGGAATGTGTCAGAAATAAGCTAATACACACTTTAATCAGGCTCCAGGAGCTGAACTTCCTTTTCAAGCCTTTTCATTGGGAACTCTGTGCAAAAAAAATGTTTAAATTAATGCAAGTGCAAATTCCAGCTGTTTGTAAGGACTACATTAGCATATCAAAGTGGTCAGAGCCCTTACACAATAGAACGACGGGTTTTTGACTGAGCCTGAAAGGCTTGAGAATGAGTGTGAGATGGTAAAACTGAGAGACTTGTGTATCTCCCCCCTTTCTTGTAAGTACGTCCGTGTGACATCTTGTGTATAACATAATCTCGCTTGTATTTGTTTGTGCGTTGGTGTGAGAGAATATGTCAAAGCGTTCACACAACAGGGTAATTGTATGGTGACTCACAAACAGTAAATAGTGGGGGGTTGAAAAACCGTTTGAATAAAAAATAACACAAAATTATAAATTCTTAAACATCTTTGAATACATTTTTCATAATTAACATAGTAGCAATCGTATTTCTTTGTCAGCGCCTGTAAAAAACAGGTGCTCATTGGAAAATGAACAAAAATAGATAGCGGAATAAAGAATGAAACTATCTGCTCGGATGTCTTGGTGTTTGATTTCTTCAGCTCGAGCATGCCATTATGAGTCCCATGTGAGAGAGAGTACCTTTTTCAGTCTATAGCCTCGTTTCAGTTGTAGTGCGTCCGGTTTCAAAGAACTGCAGCTGCTCTTGATCTGCCAGAGCACCAGATTGCTCCTCTTTGCTTGTGCGTTCATCTCTACTCGTAGATCAATACAGCCCAGCACACTTCTATATGGGTCTGGGGGGGACAAAGTGATACATTTCACTGTATTCTCAACTCTTTATTAGACACTCTCGCAGTACACAGCACTCTAAAGGCTCAGTCAGTGTGATTGGGTGAGTAAGGATGATCACATCTGAAAATGTGTGACATTGCGTGTTGTTTAATTTCTCGCTGCTATATCCCCCACCCTCAGATCAGCAGCTGAGGTTTTGTGCAATCTACAAATATTTGACTGATGCATTAAACAGATCATAACACAACTTTTGTATTTCGAAATTATAACAACAAGCCAGGCACTTCCACTCTGGCTTTATTAAGGTCATTTGTTACTGAAATAATTCACTAAGAATGCGCGCACATTGACCGTTGGCCACATTTGCTCACTTTGTTTTAGTGTCGCACTCTCTCTCTCCAGCGTGGATTCCTTGCTGTTGTCTTTGTCTGAGCAGCGATTGTCAATATGACTGATTTAAAGATGGCACTGTTGCAGAGTGGATTGTTTGTGTCGTGCCTTTATTCATGGTGAACATCACCATAGCTGCTCCCTAGCAAAATCAAGCAAATGATGGAGGTTGTGAATGCGTCAGAAGTAGAGGATTGCATGGAGTTAAATCATTTAGATTTACATCCCATTTCTTATTTGGCGTGTAAATTGTGGGTTTGTGTTTTCAGATGCAATCTATTCTGTTGCTAAACCACCTACATGGAGTCGTACTGTGCGGATAACTGCTCGCCATTAAGGGGAAAAAACAAGGCAGTAAAAGAAAGCTATGGCAAATTTGATATAATGGGCAGGCCTTTGGTGGGCCAAAAAACCTCCCCTTTCATGACTGATTTTATTTTACGATTGGCAATCAGTAAAACTGTGCGCCAGTGTGTTTCCCTCCCTGCCATTTTGTGAAACATTTGTTTCCACTTGCCAAAGGCCTCTGGTGCGGCAGGGGATTTGGTGCCCCTGAAATGGCAGGTGAAACTTTCTGCTTGCCTAAATAATTTCGTAGCAGAACATTACACAGCAAGGACATAGGCAGCGGAACGTAAGGGTCAATTCAAACTCTGGTGACAAGAACAACAGGGATATGAGCCGATGGCTCTCACTGCTCTCTGTGCTGGTTAAGTGGCAGCGTCCCTGAGCCTATCTTGCATCTCTTCTTTTTTTTGTGCGTCACTCATTTTATGCTTCTCTGAGAAGTGTTTAGAAGAAAAGGAAGTGCATAGTGCAAAACTATGTCGTAAAACGGTCCAATGGTCATACAACAATTGGGTGTAGCCTATTGGCCTGGTCGTAACTCTGTATCTTGCTTCGTGTTGAAAACACCACCTGAGTTTATCATAAGATATGCTGTGTGTTCTTAGCAGTGTTTCGGGCACTCCCCCCAATACATATTTCAATAAGGTGTTGTGCAAAAAAACATATTTATCTTACAAATTAAAAATCGAATCTGCTAAAATGTGTATTTGTCAGTTGGATAATTTTTAAACTGATGGAGAAATTACAAATACATTTGTAATCATTGAAACATAAAAAAAAATATGATTATTACATTTTTCTCATGATCGTTTTTTGCTCTCCTTTAATTTTTTTCATTCAGTATTTTTATAACTAAATTGAACCATACATATGACACACACAGACGTACAAACTCACGTACATGCATACACAATGACCCCGTCTTATTCTTTGTGCTATGTGAACAGGACTTTTCCTTATCTGTGCGCAGCTGCAACCCTATTTGGAAAAATATTCAATTTCTGTGTGACAGAGAGAACCTAGGAGGCAAGTCTCTAAGCAAACAGCAGTTATTGCGGCTCTGCTATAGCAGCCGAGAGCAAGGCCTGGCTGGGAGAGAGGGGGGATCTGCGGACGTCTGCCAGGGGAAGGAGTGATGTCTCGGCTGGATTATAGGAGAGCGAAGCACTTCCACACTTAAAAGCCCCTTTTCCAACAAGACAGGGCTGTTATTTAGGGATGGGGAGGGTAAACACACCAGAGCAATATATTTCCTCTATACAGGCTGCTGCTGTCCTTGACAATTGGGACTGAATGCAAGTAAGATAGGCTTTGCTCCTCGTGGCTTTTTTTTTTTCAAAGATAATTTCATGTTGGGCTGTGGATGTTCTTCAGTATATTCAGAAATTGTTCCAGTGAGGTGCAAAAATGGTAAGCCGTTTTTCAACATTACAGTATAATTGTATTTTGTTCAAATGGCAGTGTTTAAAAGGAACTGTAGGCTATAAATTGATGTACGTACCTTTGTTGAGTTGCTTACTATATGGCCATCAAGCGGGCTACGGCACTCTTTCAGAATACTGAATGCAAAAGAAGGAAGTAGCAACCACCAACTAAAATACATCCATTTTTTTCATCCACCAATAGTATGTCTTCCAATGGGTGACATTGGAACTGAGAGTGCGTTGTGATTCGCTAGTTCTTCTTACGTGTGTGCATATTCAAATACTCAGCGCTTTGATTCAGAAAGCTACAGTAACTGCTCATTTATATTCAGGTCCATATATGAATGTAGTTTTCAAAGCAACATTGATTTTTGAATGATCAAAAACAGTAAAGTCAAACTGTAATTAAATAAATAAGCAACATGCTAAATAAATGCACTGTTTACTGGTTACTTTGCTGCTGAAATCCTGCCAGAGGCATATACATCTAATGTTGATGCTCACTTTTTGAACTATTTGCATCGCCACATACTTTATTATATATGCTTATTTGGTCATGCGGTTGGTTTGAAAGTCTGAGGCTTTGGAAAATTATATTTTATTGTACTCGATTTAGTTGGGAAGTGTG